TTAGACGCTGCTGATCAGGGGGAATACCTTCCTTGTCTTGAATTTTTGCCTTAACATTATCGATCGTATCGCTCGACTCGACATCGAGAGTGATGGTCTTGCCAGTGAGGGTCTTAACAAAGATCTGCATGTTTGGTCTGGCTAAGTATCTAAATAACTCGCGTTCGTTTCCACAGTAAAGAGCTGTTGAACTGGAATATGTCTGTTATGAAGATATGTGTACGCATATTTATCTATAGTACTATAGTCTATATTTACAAATATTACCCTCTCTCGCTGTATTGTCACAGCTTGAAATTTTACATTACGAATTCGTTGTAGCGATTTTTGGGGTGAGTCAACTTATCAAAAGCCATGACCAATGGGATATGGTCTAAATTTAAAACGATACATCGAAATCTAGAAACGGGATCTTATTTTAAAACATTGTTGCAAACAAAATCGTCCGAAAGACATGGAATCATATATCGTAAACTACCAAAATATAGTCATTTACGACAAATATTTGAAAATGACGCAATATACATATCAAAATATGATCCTTTGTGGTTTCCTCTCCCCAGACCCCAGTACACTCCCCAGACCTCAGTTTTCTGGGAGAGGACGATGAGACTGTCAGAGGCACTAAGCCCACTGTCCCCAATGTTGGGAGTCAATGACGCCAAATGCCAATTCCCGAAACTTTTTACTGTAAATAGAAATTTGCTTGAACAATAGGGATGTCGGTTGTCACTTGTCACTGTCAAATGTCAAGTGAATAGTGACACAAGGCGTCTCAGCGACACAGTTACAACTTACACAGACCCGGCCTGAGATCTTCACCTGGGACTGTCCTGGGTCCTGGACTCCTGGGTCCTGGGGCTGGCTGTGACCCCCTTTGCCCCAGGACTCTGGGCACCTGGCCCTTTCCACGTCTGCTGATGTGTACAGTACATACCCCACTGTGCAATTACAAAATATATATTTACAAATATATATTTTTAGCAGTGGACCAACTGCCAGTGTGTTTTTGTGTATATTCTCTCTTTCATAAAAAATAACTATAAAATTGTCCGAAAATAGCACTCAAGTCTCAAGTCAAGTCAACTCTGCCTCAACTGTCAGAGTCTCAACTTCTCAAGTCTCAACCTCTCCCCATTCCTCAACCCTCCTCTGGCTCAAGCCATGACTCACGAGTCATAAAACAGAGTAAAAACTAAAAACTTGATAACTTTACCACAACTCCGAGTATCTCATTTATTAGGGTTCAGAACTTCAGGCCCAGGCCCCAGGGTTACGTTCTTGCCGAATGTACGGATAGTCGGATACATTCCGCGCGTAAAAAAAGCTGCTCGAGTATGTAAATAGGTGCAGCCGTTCAGACTTTCCTGGCCAAAAAAAAAAGACGTTAAACCGTCATTCAGATTTCAGACCCATTTGACGCAAACTGGACTCGGAACATACTTGATACTTTTTAAAAAACCACATACATGTTGCATATCGAATAAAGCAGTGCATATTTGTCGGTGTCTAGTGTATATATTTATGTTGATCTCTAGGCAATCCACAGACGTGATCTGATCGCCTCTTTTTAGCCATCGTCTGTATTTAGGCCAAAACATGTACTTCTTGTACTGTAGCTTGTCGTTCCGGTCACGAGTCTGATTCGATCACTTGCACACAGAAGTCTTGTCACTGATCTATTCGTGGAGAATATTTTTTGTAGTCTCGTTCAAAGCTTCGTATAAGGCATATACTTCAATAATATTTCCTCTTTTAAGTTCTGTCGGGCATGTACGTAATTTCAGTATCCACCTGAACTCAATGGTTGATAGTAGTCGCATCAAGTGCATACGTGCACTGATAGTATATATGTAAGCATACATGTATCTGTAATTTGCTGTTTTAATTTATAATGCCATTTGAAGCGCCGATAAGTAGTGCAGACGATATATGAATATAAGTCTGTTTCTACATTGTATGTTTTACCCGAGCGCAAAATATTGATACATATACTAAAGTTTACAGCCTATATATATAACCTTTACCTTTTTACATATATATATATGATATACGCTACATTTGCAATTAGTGCACACATGCACACAAGTCTCAGGTGGATTTACAGGGAAAAATAAACTCACTTCTATTTGCGACGGTTCACAAGCGGCTCAAAATTGTCTAGTTTATTGGCTTGCTATTTCAAGAAGTGATCACATAATGTGGGTATTACCCATCGGGGTTGGGTTGAAGTTTGCTTCAGTGGTTTGCATATTAAGAGACGGGCTGGTTGTTTAAACTTATTCGGTCGACGGCCTTGCGGCGTGTACTATTCGTAGGCAATTGCTCACCTCCTTCGATTGGCTGCAAGATCAAAAGGCGAAGATTAGCAAGGGTTAGAGACGCGGTCTTGTGGCAAGTATCGTAGTAGTTGTCGTGCTATGTAGCACAGCGCGCACGATACACTATATTGTGTGCTTCTATGTGAAACTACATCAGAATGTTCGTACCTTTTCCTGTGCGAGCCACGCCCAGTACTGCGCTTGCATCGTCCGTGATATCAGCCTCGGACAGCTTGATTGTATATTTGGGACCTTGTTGTGCGTGCAGCTTCCTCCTCTTGCTTTCTTTTGGTTTCTCTGCGAAGTAATGTATCACGCATGAATTGTGGATGGTGATTACTGAGTGGTATGTATATATATCACAAAATATCGCATGAGCTGACTTTTCACGCGAGAATGGTCAAAGAACATATTCGGCTAAGACTATCGATGTTATTCGGCCGCCGACACATATTGCATTCACAAGCACATTGGCACTAGCCATATATTAGGTTTCTCGGCTTTAAACAAGATAAAATCAGCAATAACTATATGCGCTCGAGCTACCGAGAAAGATGAGCAAATTTTCTTAGGCTTTCTCCAAAACACACACACACACACACACGCGCGCGCGCGCGCACACACACACACACATATATATGATTTGTTACCTGATACATCTTTCTTATCGTCGCCAGTTCGGTACCTCAGCTTGCGCGTGGTAGCCCTGGCCTTATCTTGTGCCTCCGAAACATTGGTGAGATCGTCGTTAGTCCTCTCTTCAGCCAATCTTTTGATCTTGTCATGTAATGAGGTCAACACATCCGCTTTCTCCGAAACTATACAAATGCGGAGAAATTAAAACTAGGGATACAAATAACCAGCGCAAAGATAGTACCAATATGGCTTGACACAGAGAGAATACGTACTCTAGTTCATATTCTCACGAAATGTAAACAAAGGCCCAAACACAGACGTTTAGGCTATTTGGGTTTTCACTAATCACACCCCAATTGCATCTCATGTGCCGATGTAATAGGCAAATATCATGTTTGCATACAAGTGGCTTTCTGTGTAAACACGAACAGCTACAGATAAGCTATTCACATGAAGCAGATAAAAAAGAGTAATGAATGAAGAATTCTCGCCCTCGCATCACCGACACATACGAAGGCATAGTTATGATCTTCGTCCAGTTATCCTCATGTACTTGTT